TTCTCACCCAGAAATGTAGGCACCACTCTAGCCTGACAACAGCTCCAGCCAATCACAGCCGTCCTTGGCTCCCCCAGCCTAATTGGCCTAACATAACCTGTACTGTATTTGCCTTCGCTACAGGCTGACTCAACATAACCCGTACTCTCTTTGTTACCATGTAATCATGCTGTTTGCACTACGCACCTTCCTACTCCACTACATCACCCCCCCCTCCCCTGATGAAAAAATCTATCCGTCCCGGCTACGACAACACTTCAATCTCTGGGTAGTGGAGTATCTAGGACGTAACAATAAACAACACAACATAACAACTTTGTACAAGAATCGCGACACGTAGAGTCAATGAAAGATCCATCCTCGGGAGCAAGTTCCAGCTGCCAGCCCATTTCCCCTAAACGGGACACCATGGGGCAAGGGCGGGGCACGCTCCTCCGTTAAGTCAGGGCTGCGTCTGGTCCTCGACACACACCCGTCCCTGTCACAGCGACCATCTGTCGGCGGGACCGTCCCTCGTCCCTGCGCGGGCCGGACAGTATCTCAAGGTTGCGGCCAGTCAACCGGTTTCCGGCCAGTAAACCTGCCAGAACCCCCTCTTCGAGTCAATAGGGATGGTCCTGCAGGCACATGGGAGGCAGATTTCTGAGGCGCGTACACATGCGACCGCATCACAGGCTCGTCGGAAACATCCAATATAGGCCGTTTTGGGATGGGAGATGACGCGTCATATGGCGATACAAAATTCTTAAGGTGCGACGGATGAACATACCATATTCGACGATAGAATCGAATCCGTACAATTTGGTCCCGGAGAACCTCAACTACCTCAACGGGCCCCTGCCAGGGCCGATGGAACTTTGGAGACGTACCCACCGGTACCATGGGGCAGTGCAACCAAGCTTTGTCCCCAGGACACCACGGCTCTCGAGGCCGCTGCATACCATGCAACCATTCGTTGGCGGCTTTTCGTCACACCGTGTTACCCAACGAAGCCTCCCGAGCCTCTCTCAGACAGTCCAATGCTACCTGCATAGGAGCAGGCACCGTCGACGACTTTCCTTGTTTTTGCCCACCCAATTTGACCAAGGCCGGCGCTTCTGGTTCGCGCCCATACATCAAATAAAACGCGAGTACCCCGTCAAGGCATGCGGGGCCAGTCTACAAGCAGCCAGGGTCGCCGCAACATGCAGGTCCCAATCATCCTGCGAGGCATTAACCTGGTGGCAAAGCATAGATGTCAGCGTCCTATGCAGGCATTCGACCATCCCGTCGCTCTCCGATTTCACCGTCGCTATGCTCTCTCCACTGCTAACTACTTCGTCTCTGCTCTCCGCTATCACCGTCACTATGCTCTCTCCACTGCGAGCTACTTCGTCTTGGCTCTCCGCTATCACCGTCACTATGCTCTCTCCACTGCGAGCTACTTCGTCTCTGCTCTCTGCTATCACCGACGCTATGCTCTCTCCACTGCTAACTACTTCGTCTCTGCTCTCCGCTATTGTTACGCTCTCTCCACTGCTGGCTGCTTCTCTTCTTTAGCTCCGCTATCGTTACGCTCTCTCCACTGCTGGCTGCTTCTCTTCTTCAGCTCCGCTATCGTTATGCTCTCTCCACTGCTAGCTGCTTCTCTTCTTCAGCTCCGCTCCACACTCTGTTTCCAACCTCCGTCTCCAACTCTTTCTCCCAACTCTCCTCCAAACTCCACGTCTTGCCTCGTCCAGCTCCCAACTCCCAACTCCAACGCCTGCTCCAATTCCCGACTCCACAATTTATCCCCGCTCTCATTACTCCCCAATTAATTAGTCCGTGCCCCAACGACGCTCTGCGTTGTTCGCACCTGTTTCTCACCCAGACATTTAGGCGCCACTCTAGCCTTGACAACAGCTCCAGCTAATCACAGCCGTCCTTGGCTCCCCCAGCCTAATTGCCCTAACATAACCTGTACTGTATTTGCCTTCGCTACAGGCTGACCCAACATAACCCGTACTGTCTTTGTTACCATGTAATCACGCTGTTAGCACTACGCACCTTCCTACTCCACTACACAGGTAACAAGCTGAGATTAGGAGCACCCCCTTTAAGAGTGTGCTCCTAATCTCAGCTCGTTACCTGTATAAAAGACACCTGGGAGCCAGAAATCTTTCTGATTGAGAGGTGGTCAAATACTTATTTCCCTCATTAAAATGCAAATCAATTTATAACATTTTTGACATGCGTTTTTCTGGATATTTGTTGTTGTTATTCTGTCTCTCACTGTTCAAATAAACCTACCATTAAATTATAGACTGATCATTTCTTTGTCAGTGGGCAAACGTACAAAATCAGCAGGGGATCAAATACTTTTTTTCTCACTGTAAGTCTAAATGAATCTGCATTTGTATTGTAAATTTTGACATGTTGAATGCTGAGTGATCTGAATGCAAAAATCCTTCTTTACTTGATTATGTTTTGTTTTCTTGATGTCTTATTTACCTAAAATGTTAAATGCTGGCATGTGCTTATTATGATTCACTCAAAAATAACACCAAAGCACGAAATTACATTTCCACCAAGGCTGAATTTTATTCCAAGACATAAAAAACAAAGATTCACACTCTCTTCAAGATGAAATTAACAAGTTGACAGCCAGTATATTAAGCGAGACTATGCTTTGTAACAAAATTTAATTGTATTGCCTGGAGCTCAGGATCAGCACATAGCCTATTCAACCTTCTTTTGTGCTCATTTTTCATATGTTATACATTTTACTTTGTGGGTTGTTGTTAGCTGATGTCATGGCGTCTCGTGTCTGTAGTATAACCTAAAGTCTGGAACTCTCAATTCTCTTGTACCACCCTCATCCATACCACAATACATGCCAAGTAGCCTCTTCACAACCCACCCAACAAACTATGCACTACATTTCCATGCACTAGCCTGCCCACTACCCACCTACCCACCGTACAACCCAATCCTTACAAACGACCCTATTCACTGTCTACCTACCAACCACCTTCGCAACTACTCATACACGATTCAACCCATTTCCCATCACTCTGTCCACTACCGACCTACCACCCTACACACTATCCATCCACCACATTATATACCAACTTCAAGACACCACTCACCACCACCAAACACACACACACCACATATCAACCACTCTACTCACAACCTAGATACCATTTTATCCACTGACTACTCACTACTTTAACTTCTGCCTATCTGCCACATATACCACTACCCCTGCACATAATTATTAATGCACCACTTTGTCCAGTAGGAAATTAGCTAATGCCCAAGTTATAAGCTAGACACTCGCATAATAGATAATTTGCCCAATCAGTTTTCTTATTATATAAACGTGATGCTAATACTGCATAACTGTATGGCATTAACCTCAACGTGCCTTGGATTAAAACGATCATATGCGTTGATTAAGGCAGTTATGTTTCTTCCATGCAGCAATGCCTGTTTTGCAAGAGATGGTTATATTCTTTGGGTCTTACGGTAAAGTGACATAGATAGGTTCAAAGAAAATAACAAAAAATAATACATTTTATTTTCTTTGAACCTATCTACGTGAATTTACCGAAAGACCCAAAGAATATGAATTCCTGCAGTCACAAAAGCTTTAAGTCAAGAGACGGTTATTATTGAACAAGAAAACAGAGAGGAAATTGTGCAACGGAAGTAATCACTGGACACAAAATACAAAAGTTACTTCTGTAAAGGCTGGCTATTTCTCACTGCTTCTTCGTCTTATTGAAGGTGATACACCTTATTAAACCAAATAGAGCAGGAAATTGGATTTTTTAAATCAATACACGCAGAATTGCTAATGTTATGCATCGTGGTATTGTGCAGATGATGATCGCCATAATGAAGGAAGGTGACGTTAGCAGGCACACAGTGTCAGCCCATCGCTCACCATGCCATTGTAAAAGTAACACCAGCAAACAAACTCATGGCCTATAACACATCGCAGCCGCCATCACTAATTACCAAACATTTAATTTTACGTAACCATGTGGAATGGCTCCTGCAATGTGTGGCATTATGAGGATTTCGTTAATCACTCTGCGTAGGGAAATAACACTTCATCCCAAGCATTGATTCCAAAGTGAATCAAACACCAACCTTCGTGGTAGCCCCAGAAATGTGAGTCCTTTGCCAGATGTGACATGTCAGGGGCTTCCCTTTCATTGCAATCAATGATTACACTATATAACACAATTTTTGTTCCTGGGTACTAAGTGTTATTTTTTAATTGCTTATGCCTAAAAAGTATAGAAAATGGCTATTATTCCCCACAAGCTTTGCTTTTGTGACCAGGACTTTATGTCAACGAAAAAACACAAATTCACCCGTTTTCTCATTGAAAATAGGTAAATATCTGAATATCACTGTCCTGGTCACAAAAGCAACGTTTGTGGGGAATAATAGCCATTTTCTGTACTTTTGAGGCATAAGCAATTAGGAAATAACACTGTCTACCCAGAAACAATTTTTTTTTTACTTACACAGTGTTATAATTAAACATGCATCCCCAATCATGACAGTTTCATTTTGTTGTTGAAATACACATTGTAGTTTTTGTTGTAGCGCACCACGCATTGCTCTGTGCCATTGACCGAAAACCGAGCCAACGTGAGCATCACGTGGAGCAATGCTGCAGTTCCACCTCATGTCGTAGGGTTTCCTAATGCAGATTCATCTGTATATAAGCACCTCTTAGAAGCCATGCCATGTGTGGTTATGTTCCAACTAGTGTGCTTGTATATTAGTAGTTACCCTTTGCCTCCCCATCCCCACCAATGCAATACCTGTATGTGTTGTGAATGTGAGAATTTTCCTTATATGAGTTCACAAAACAACTGATGCCACAAGATCTCACCAATGATTTCTACCCACTGCAAGATTCTCACAGCTACTGCACTTTAGCTACGTGACCTCCGAGATGTGCCCCTAGTAAGGTGTGCTTATATCCACCTACTACTGTTCCCACACCCGTGCAGCCTTCGACACCAGCATGCTGCCCATCTGCCGGGACCACGTCGGGTGGATGTTCAACCGATTGGACTCCAACCACGACCTCTTCCTGGACCAGGGTGAGCTCAGCACCATGGGCCTGGGCCGCGGGGTCGCGGGTGGCCTGGAGTCGCCCGAGAGACACGAGCCCTGCCTCTCCACCTTCCTGGACAAGTGCGATACCTACAGCGACAGCCTGCTCTCCAACAACGAGTGGTGCTTCTGTTTCCAGCGCCAAAGTAAGTGTTGGCTGCTCATCGCCCTCTTGCCGCTGTCCAGTGTCAGTTTGTCAATCAGCCCGTGTCGAATCGCTACTGGACAAAGGCTTTCCCCAATCATTTCCCACTTTCATCACTGCCGTGCTGTTGCCTAAGTCAGTAGGTGTGGCAATGACTACCGTGACTGCAGTGTGTTATGTCAGAACCTGGTGTGACTGTAATGAGACTTGCCGATAACACTATGTAACACAATTTTTGTTTTTGGGTAGTAAGTGTTATTTCGTAATTTCTCATGCCTAAAAAGTATAGAAAATGGCTATTGTTCCCCACAAACTTTGCTTTTGTGACCAGGACAGTGATATTTTGTAATGTATCTATTTTCTATGAGAAATAGGGCGAATTTGTGTCTTTTCGTTCACATAAAGTCAGACTAAAACAACATATGAATAAAATTTGACATGTATTTATACTAAAGTAATACAAAAATGACTACAAAAGATTTAGAAGTGAGTAGTTTTTCGAGATTTACGATTATACTGTAAATCACTTTCACGAATCAGCCCCCAAATGTAGTCTCCCATCATGTTCTCATCATACTGTCCTTGGTAGCGGCGTTCATAGTCTAGTATATCCTGGTGGAAGCACTCGCCTTGCTCCTCCAAGTATGCTCCCATGTTCTCCTTGAATTTATTAAGATAAGCATCCAGGATATGGACTTTTAGAGACATCCTACAGCCCATTGTGCCGTAGTTCTTCACCAGAGTCTCAACCAGCTCCACATAGTGTTCGACTTTGTGATTGCCCAGAAAGCCACGAACCACTGCGACAAAGCTGTTCCAAGCTGCTTTCTCCTTACTAGTGAGCTTCTTGGGGAATCCATTGCACTCCAGGATCTTCTTTATCTGTGGTACGACGAAGACACCGGCTTTGACCTTTGCCTCCAACAGCTTAGGGAAGAAGTCTTGAAGGTACTTGAAGGCTGCTGACTCCTTATCTACAGCTCTGACACATTGTTTCATAAGGCCCAATTTGATGTTCAGTGGTGGCATCAGCGCCATCAGTGGCTCCCACTTGACGTTGTTCCTCTCCACAAAGGTAAAGATAGCAACGAAACTTGGTAAAACTGTCTTGGAGACCAATCAGGAATGCCACCATTTTGAAGTCTCCGATGACCTCCCAGCCGTACTCATCATACTTCAAGGCATCCAGCAAGGTCTTGATGCTGTTGTAATCTTATTTGAGCTGCACCGAGTGAGCCAGGGGAAGAGACGGGTACTTGTTACCATTATGGAACAGCATGGCTTTGAGGCTCCTGGATGAGCTGTCAATGAAGAGGCGCCACTCATTCTGGTTACAGGCGATTCCGATTGCCTCGAACAGACTGGTCACATTGTGGCTGAAGCAGAGCCCATCTTGACGGGTGAAGAAGCTGCAAAAAGGTTGGTGATGCTTCCTCTGATCTGCGACTTGCATATTTTTATCTAACAAGTTCCACTGCTTGAGCCTAGACGTCAAGAGCTCAGCATTGGACATGGTGAGACTAAGATCTCTGATCAAGTCGTTGAGGTATTTTTGGTTGGGGTAGTATGTGTTTCTCTCTTCAGCTCCACCTCTGACATTGTTATCTGGATCTACAACGTCTTCCTCGCTTTCTGACTTGCTGCTCTCTTCTAAAGACAGCTGCTCTCTCTCCGGAGGAGTGGGTATGGGGAGCTCATGACAGTGTGGCACCGGGGCGATGGATGAAGGAAGGTCCGGATACGTGATAGCAGGTGAAATCTTGCCAGTCCGACGTTTGGAAGGGTCCAGCATGCAGAAGTAGCAGTTGCTTTAGTGGTCAGTGGGTTCCTGCCAAATTCTTGGGATAGTGAACTTCAAGGCTCTCTTTTCCCCTCTGTACTATCCTACAAAAATACATTTCTTTCACCCGTGACTAATGTGTAAGAGATTATCGCTACATTTTTCATATATGATATATTTTTCCAATAACATTGAAAATTGTCAAACATTTTAAAATAAAAATAAAAACTTTTACAATAAAAAAATTGGAACAGATTTTATAACGTAAAATTCTGAGCAATGATTGTCCATATTACCTTCCAGAGTTTTTTTGCATTGCTCGCAGGTGAAATGAGGTGTCCAGGGTTTGTCTTGATCCCCAACAGGCATGCCGAAATATGTGTAGGCCTCACACATCTTATCAGATGCTTCCACAGAGTACTTTTTCGCTCTTGTCTTGAGAAATTGGCCGCAGACATAGCAAAATGGGTCTGCCAGATGCTTGCAGCCTCTTGATGCCATCTCAGAAAAATGCAGATATGTATTCACTTAGGCAGCTGGAACTAAACTGAACTGGTGGGCTTAAGGCCCCTGTATTTATGGTACTATTTATATTACTGGAAAGTTCTAGAATGTTCTAGAAGTTGCTCCAAGTTTACTCAGAACTGAATCTCTCTGGAATGTTCTGTAAATTAGGTACATTGTAAATATAACTGTCCTGGTCACAAAAGCAAAGTTTGTGGGGAATAATAGACATTTTCTGTACTTTTGAGGCATAAGCAATTAGGAAATAACACTTACTATCCAGGAACAAAAAATATTGTTACACAGTGTAATCTTTGTGGCTGTGGCGCGTTGTTCCACGAGTTGTTGTGATTGTTATGTGGTGTGCCAGTGCCTGGCGTGGGTGTCGCGTTTCATGCCAATGATCGATGTGGTTGTGGTGAATCTTGCCAATACCTGCTAAGACAGTATTGTGGTGTGCCAGCAGCTATTGTAAATGTGTGGTCTCTTGTACCAGCATCTGTTGTGGCTGCAGTATGTATCACTATGATCTGGCATGGCTCTAGTTTCTTTTGGCAACAATTTCTGTATCCGTGTCTGTGAGGGTTCCTCCAGTGTGCCATGGCACTCTCAGGTGTAGCTGTGGCAACTTGTGCCAAAGCCCGGTGGGGCTCTCTCTTGCCAGTATGCATAAGCGTGTTGTGCCAATGTTTTGTGTTCAGTGAGTGTTGACGGACACATGGCAATGCAGGTAAATAAGTGGACCCAACTTAGTGAGCAGTCGTGTTTAAATGTCATTCTCTTGCTTTTCAGAGCCCCCGTGCCATGCGGAGAAAGAAAAACTTCAACATAGCAAGAAGCTCGTGGGTAGGACAATGCATTAAAATTACAATTGCGATGATCATTGGTTGCCTGCTGTGACATGCAATGAAGATTAAATGCTTAAATGAAGCATCTGTAATGTTTTTTTTATTTGAGGCCTATATCACATTCATCACATGTAATTTGTCTTCAATTGAGTCATATTAATATTATTTCCAATGAATACTTTATTGAAAGGCGCTTGCATAAATTCAGCCGCACTTGTCAAAAATGGATACGTAATGTAATTGTTCTAATGTTAATTAAAAGTTTAAAATGTATGTTTCTGAAGCACATGCTGAACAGTGACATTGTGGAGAATTATGTATAATGGTCGTATTCGCAACTTAATTGAATGCGCGGGAATGTTTCATTTTACGTTAAGTACACGTATGGGTTTACACATACCCACAACGCATTCACTGCTGCGTGACAACCGCCACTCGTGCGCACCTATAATTTATTCTTAGTTACTCTCAATGTCATTTGTCAGCATTTGTTCCTACTCGTTTGTCCCTTGTACCCTTTTGCTTGCCTCATCATCCTCCCGATACACTCACGTATATTCATGTAACTATTCTCATCCCTGTGTCATAATGCACGACTCATGCATACACAACCTGCAAGAAGAAAGGCACGGCACTGCCACGCGCTGCAGGGTGGCAGTGCGAATTGATTACTGTCCACAACCTCATAAATGTCGTGCCTCTCAATGACGGCATGTTGCTCGGCATATGGAGCGCGTGCCCATCTGTAACGCAGGCGGATTTTTGTATGCGGTGGCGCAATGACCCCATTGTACTTCCAGACCCCAAAGTATTCTAATTTTAATCTGACGGACAGCATTGTTTAATACTCGGGAATCGTTCCCATCTTTGAGCAACCACAGCACGATGATCTCATCACACCTTACTTGGGTCTAGTCTTTCTCTTCGCAGCAATCTCACTGTTTCTCACAACGGTGTCCAATTTGGTCTCGAGAGTCTCTAGTTTTGTCCGTCCTCACGACGGTTGTTTTGGACCTCGTCTGTTGCCTGGATCTGCACGTCCCCGTGTGTGACAGCCCGGTGTGATTTGTGCCACAGGCGGGTTCATGCCCACGTGCGACGAGCAGGGCTACTACGGACCCAAGCAGTGCCACAGCAGCACAGGCCAATGCTGGTGCGTGGACCAGTATGGCAAGGAGACCCCGGGCACTCGCTTGCATGGGGAGCCCAGCTGTGGTACGTTTGATAAGGCTGTCTCTTTTTGTCCCAACAATATCAGGTGACAAATGTGCCCTGCCAAAGCGGCGGAGGTGGGTTTTACAATAGGGTAACAGTCAGTGAGAGTATTTGTACTAGTGACTTGTTGACTAATGCTTTAACTTTCTCCTCAGTGTAACGGACATTCTTTTCAGTTTGCTCCCACTTTTCATTCCTGATATTTAAAGCACCTCACAGATCGACTCTTGCACCACAACATGCACAGGTGTTAACCTTGGTCTGTCTGACTTCTATATCTGGAGAACTGGAGCAATATCATTCCAGACCTTGTGACTATTTTAAAAACTAAGATGTCCTTGTAATTTTCACCGTTTCTAGACCCTAAGATGTCAGGTATAAATCATAGTCTCTCTTTTCCCCTCTTCCTATGTCCCCTATATCATACAGCATCTTTAATGCGATTACATTTAGATGTTCTCTAAACAAAAAAAATATCCTGTACTGAGCTTTCACATCTTAGCCCATTCCATTTACCACAGTTTGATATTCGTTAACACCTTGAGGCTTTAAAAAAAATTATCCAGAAGCATGTAATCAAGGAATCCCTCATATTGTGAGCATTACAGAGCAATTTTCATCATCGCGTCAAAATTGTACGTTATCATATTCTCACTCGGTGCAATATTGTCAGGTGAAAGAAAGACAGAGGACATGACGGCCAGTGAGGAAGAGGAAGAGGTGGAAGGCTCTGGCGACCTGGGCAGCGGGGATGTGGCGGAATGGACGGATGATGACGATGAAGATGACGACGATGATGATGATGTCGACGGCAACGAAGATGATAGAAATGAGAAAGAAAATGAAGGAGTGGGTGGCAAACCAGAGGCCGAGGATCTGACCAAGATGAAAGTGGCTGGGCGGGAGAGAGAGCAAGAAAAAGAGGTGGAAGTGGAACCAGAGGAAGACCCAGATGATGAGGATGAGAGTGATGATGGCTACGTGTGGTAGATGAGCTGGGTCTAGATGTGGCGGGGGGGGGGGAAGCAGCAGAAGGATGGGGGTTCAGGCGGGCAGGGCTACGTACAGTGGTAGGGGAAACATGGAAACCTTGCTTGAACACGGGCTTTGGTTGGGGAAGGGGCACGGATGAAACCCCTGCTGTTCGATGATTAATCCTGAAACACGAGCTGTCCTGGAGGCTCACCTGAGAAAGAGTCCCACACCAATCTCTAAACTCGCAGTTTGGTCGCATATTGAATACAAATTATAACACTCACATTTGATCTCCTGACACAATAAACTAACCTTTTTATTTTACCAGGTTAGGTCCACTGAGCTGTATAGCTCTTTTTCAGAAGCCACCTGGCCACAAATGATAGCTCAACGAAGTGGCTTATCATGTGGAAATTTATAGCAGCCAAATATTCTAAATGCATGCTTCTGAATGTGGAGGGGAAAACCGGAGGACACGGATAAAAATCCACGCGGCCACGGGGAGAACATGCAAACTCTAAATGTACAAGCGTCAGGGTTGGGATCGCTCCCACGACTTTCTATATACCAGGCGTGGTAGTTACATCTCACCACCACGGTGCCCCACTCAAAATGTGATAGGGTTTTGATAAAAAAATAAATCCACCTCAGACGTACCATGACTTATTTACCAATTGTTTGCCATTATAATAATGGAAACAAGTTTGGGCCAATACATTTTTATTTGAATTAAGGGTAAACATGATGTGAACTAATTTCTACGTGGCATTATTTGAGATTTACAAAAATATCAGTTCTTATTTCGATAATGTATAATTCATGAGACTTCGTTTTACCTGTGTTGTGTGCAGTACCACAAAACAACAGGGATAATAATATATTTTTATCTCTCTTCCATGATTTAGGAAAAAATCTCCCCTGATGTCTAATGGAAATTATTGACAATTGAACCTAGAGAAATTACACACAGTGGGTTTGTTGTTCTATCAGGGTAATGTACGTTCATCACGAAGCAATCAGGGTAATGTACATTCATTCGCACCTCTGATCTGCACGGTTGGCTGTGTATGGTGCGAAAGAAGTTCAACATACATGAAGCAACCAACTTTGATAGGTTCAGTTGGTAGCACCATGGTCTCTGCTGTGATGTAAATCCAGGTCATATGCACAGAGTAGGTGAAAGTTCAAGCATCGTGTGGTTAGAGGCTTGATCTTAGATCATCACTAATTATGACTTTAAAATATTGAGTATTTTCATTCAGAGGAAGAGAAAACCCAACATTCATCATTTGTCAGTGGGATAAAATTAAAAGTGACACTAGGTCCTTATGTTTTGTCACTGGCGTGATGTTGTCGGAGAGATGTTTCTAGCTGCCTGTGAAATGAGAGTTTGTAATGGAATTTTTAGATGGGTAATGCCCCCATCACACTTGTGATGCATCAAGAATAGCCCTCAGTGGTCACTGGTTACTCAGCTGCGTTTTGAGATTCACAGATAGGGCAACACTTCGCACACACTAACACTGCCCTCTGCGGGAAGGTGTGGAGAAAGCAGACACGAATATCCCAACAATCCTCATTCGATACCCAAACATCGCACCTGCTGGCTTTGATATTCTCCAAAGACACTGGTGTAACCATCAACCACATCATAACATCAAGAGGGTAATGTGCACATCTCCTTCATAAATTGTAAAAAAAAAAAAACAGCCACATTTCGATTGTGGCCATGCAACAAAATTATGGATCATATAGTAAACAACTGTAGTCTGCGCTCCTTCAACGGAGGGATCGCAAAACTACACGAACTCCTGAAGCACTCTCGTGGCTGGCATATCTGGACATTAGCATTTAGCTCCTGAACATATTTCCATCATTCGCAAGAATTTAATGTATTTTGATGTTGACTATAATTGTCATTATAAAAAAAAACACTCATTGACTTTAATATACCCTTCGGAGCAGAAACATATACAATGGGTTAAACTTTTCAATCACTGTGTAATGTAACCATATGGACATGTTTCATTTACACGCTTCACCTTAATGGTATGTTTTAAGCATTCTAAGCAAATAGAAAAGATAATACTAATCAACGGGGAAATATTTAACACTTCCAGTTTATTATTAAACTACATTTAAAATTATAAGTTGCAAAGTAACTTTACTCCGAAATAAATTAAAAAGTTCAGTAAAACCTTAGGACATAATATAGTCTGCACAATGCAATAACAGAGACAGCTAAATTCAGAAAAGGTGTCCCATTTGATTCTTGTTTTTTATAGATACAGTATGCACTCCCTCTCTCACTCACTTATCAGACAGTGCACTTCCTCCACTACCCACACACGCCAGAGTTACCAAGCACCACATGCGCAATCCAGCAGGGGATTGTAGAATATATAGAGGTCATCAGAGCAGAGCTGAGGCCAAACCCAGCATTGACCACGGGGGAACTGAATACGTGCTGCAGATATGACCGCGACTTCCGTAAGAAACTGCTCATTGCTTCATGTTCGTTCTTTAATTTACGATATCAATTGCATATATACAGCGTATATATTTTATTTTCTGGGTATTGAGATTAATAAAAACGGAAATTACTGGGAAGGCTGTGAATATTATTCAGCTTTTTTTACTTGTTTGGATATTCCTTTGGTGTTTTATGGTTATTTACATGCTATCATAAATTTGTGCATTTTAAAACACTTTTCTGGCTGCTTTATCAGTAAGTGTACTTTTGTATTTCTAATTCTTATATGGAAGGGCATTCATGTGTCTCTGTAAGGTCTTGCTTAAAGGGAAACACTCAGTTCTTTCCTTTGCCTTTTGGGAAAAGACTCAATGCAAACACATATGGCTTTTTAAAGATTAATATGCAATTTCCCAGGCAGGAGAAAACATTTCCCGATATTGGGTGTCACAGTACTGAATACAAAATTATTGGGCCATAAAAATATGCATTTTAAATGTAAAATGCAACAAGACCTTCATGGCTCCAGTATAGCTCCTCAGTTGTTACAGAGTGTGCATACTGCTCTTATTTTCAGGGCACTTTATCTCTGCATGCAATTTTTTGTCCAATTGGCTTACGCATGAAAAACTAAGTCACTATTAATATACTGTGCAAAACTGCCCCCAACATTTTGAGTGACCCCTTGAAACTATATGAATTTAAATTGTTATTTTTCTCGAGAGCTGGGACTGTCACATGAATATATAAACGTGTGATATTCAAACACTTAGCTTCTTTATAGACGTCGGTTTTTGTTTCAGGAAATGGAAACAATTGACAGCTTTCCCTGGATAGAGACTCCCTTTTAATGTCATGCCAAGCTTTGGGCTTGCGGAATGTCTGCTGTCAAAAACTAAAGGCTCCAATTAATGTGTTTTGGTGGCTATTAATAATGTACAGTAGCTGCATAGTGTGCTCGTAAATGTATCTAAAGAGAAAAAAAAAACATGTAGTCCTTGAATCTCGTTAACATTATCGTTTGGTAGATTTTGGAATTGAACGACTGTGCGTGCGTTTGAGCCCTTTCACTCCATTCTGCATGGTGTTTAGCTATATAGCCATCTGTGTATGTATCCATCTCTTTACTATTCAATAGCTAAACATATATAGTAAAATAAACATTGGTCGGGCGTTTGGTTTAAACATGATTGTGTTCTTGGCCACTTTGTACGCAGAAATATGTTTTGATTAATGCTTTGGTGTGTTGTGCTTCGTAACAGCGGGTATTGTGAATTCAGTGCCACATAGCACTCCACAACTACAAAATTAAAACGTCTCCCCAACTTCATTGACATTATCTTTTAAAAGGAAACATACCAGAGGGCTTACGGCTTCACTAGCATTATTCATCACAGCGTTAAGCTGTCAAATCTTTTGGCCTTTGGATATATGTGAATACAGTGGACAGATCCTAGGAATTTCATGGTAGGATGAGGTAATGAACTTGTATGTTGGAAATTAGAAGCAAGAAAGCATTGTTGATATGATCAGTAGGTTTTTCTTTGTAAAAGGTTTCAGTTTGGTGTTTTAACATCTTAACACCTGTTTGTTCCCAGAAAAAAGGGGGAAACCTATTCTCATGATCAGCCGGTTGTGATGGGTGGAACACGTGTGTAGGATGGCGGAAGGCAGGCTACGGTAGTAATAATTATAGTGATAATTAGGCATGCAACGATTCAGCGCCCCAATAGAATTGATGTCATGTTTGTATCGCCTCATGTATGTCCTACTCATACATTCCTTCCTCAAGTAAAGAATTACATTTGAGAGGGAGTCCTGGAGCATCTAGTATAAAGGATGCTTTTGTCCAAAGAATGCAGAATTATTGGATGAAAACACTAATACATTGATTGTGCAGCCATATGTTGCATATAAAATACAATAAAAACTATTAAAAGTGGATTGCAATGTTGCAATGAATTTCATGGACTATTTTAACCGGCAGTTTCAATATCAACATCATGTGCATGCCCCAGGGGGCGTAACACTCCCCACGAGCCGCCACCAGGCAATCCTATCCTGCGCTAGCCGCCATGCTGAATGCAAGAGAAGTCCGTGTTGTCAAAGATCAGCCTCAATCGTGTGTGTCCATGTCAGCCATGGTCTGCCCCGGTGGCGCCTCCAGTCCTGTGGTGGGCCGTCAATGATCGTGCGCGGGGCTCTGGCGTGATCTGTTGATACGTCCGCCCGGGCAACGTGTCCGAAGAGCCTACGTTTTCTGGCTCTGACCGTTTTATGCACTGCTGGGGATCCTGTGCGAAGGCGGACTTCGGCATTGGTGATGTGTTCACTGAAGTGGTTGAGGAGTATCAATCACAGGCACCACTGGTCGGAGGGATCCAGCTTCCTACTCAGGGACGTTGTCATTGACCACGTCTCTGAACCATACAGTAGTGTGGGGAGGATGTATGCATTGTATAGTCGAATCTTTGTTGCTGTTGTAATACTGAAGCGCCAGATGTCTGTCGAGCTGTTTCATGCACTCGTGTGGGGGCTGACGCCCACCTCCCTGCTTCCCGTGAGCGGGCGGGGCGCGTGTCCACCCCTCCACTCCCCCCTCCTCCTCGGCCACTTTTCGCCAGGCCCCCGCCAATCGGGTGATCGCCCCCCCCGCACCAGGGTCCTCTCTGAGGGACATGGCTCGCTGGCTGGCTCACCACCGCCCGGAAGTTATCCCACACACTCCCACATACACCACCACCAATGCGGAGGTGGCTGCGTGCACGCGC